CTGATCCTTCCCAGGACAAAGTCATACATCAACTAATAATTTATTTGTATATTTGATTAATTCAGTGGTCATTGCAGTTACAGAGACAGCAAATAAAACATAATGAGGAGACAAACTTTCCCAGCACGCTAAAAACAGAAGAACATTCCTCATGTGGAAACACACAACGTTCATCAGTCTGTACATTTACTCATGTACACACACACACGCGCGTGCACACACATTCAATCATAAACAGATATGTAAAATACACCGTTGTGTGCGAAACGATGTCTAAATGAAATATTGCAGAAAAGCTGCTCATTTCTGCCTGTTTCTTCAGAGTTAATTCAGGACATGTTCAGTCTGGACGGCAAACAAATATGGATAGCAGGAACTGTGGTCAGACGTTTGCACACAACTATAAACACGAATACATTCACACAAGCAGTCACGGACTCCTGCTCATGTAGCGGGAACACTTAGGATGTTTGTGATCGTCATCCAAACCAGGAGTGAAAACATAAAGGAAATTGCTGCGGAAATGACATTTCATTTGCGAAGGATTAGTTGGTACGGTTGCACGACTTCTAATGTTGTTTTCTTTTACAGGCTAATTTATTTTGCTTGTATTTTTCTCATTTGTTGCTTTGGATAAAGCAGTATATGAAAGAGTAATACATTTACATGTCAATGATTTACTGAAATGGAAATGTTTACTGGTGAAATTTGTACATGTTTTGTGCACAGATTGCAAAAATATGCTAAATATGTCGCTTACGCAAAGAAGATTTCAGAAATTTGTCTTTTGAATCTATTTTCAGGCTCTAGTAAAAACGAATATGCCTTAAAAAGTGCATTCTTTACACACAAAACATAAAGAAACACACGTTTTAGCAGTCAGATGATGAAATAAATCCACTAATATTACTATTTGGCCATTTGTCAGGCTGCAAATGGAAGGTCAAGTAGAGAAGGCATTGCATTATGGGATGCAGTGTTACATGCGAAGTTCAAAATGGAGTATTTTCATACAGCACAATATACACTCACAAATATACTTATATATGATTTATCTGTCCCGTCACTGTCACTGCCGTGAGCACATTCATTGTGAGGTCGGCGTATGTCACTCTGTGTGTGTGTGTGTGTGTGAGAGAGAGAGAGGGAGTTTACTGTAGTGTATCTATGGATGCTTATAAAGAACTATTAACATTTCAACTCTACTTCAGTTAACTCTCCTGTTAGTTTAACATAAAGAAGAAAACGCTGGCATAAAAAACCTTATTGCGTAAACACAGACATCTATCAACATGAAACACTAAAACAATCGAAAGTGTGTTGACAATAAACATTCTGTCATCCTTTGCTCATTCACTTCTGTTTACAGAGCAGAAATGATACTGTGACGTTTGTGGCAGTGAAAATGGTGTCTTATGTGTTTAAAGTACATGTACTGAAAATCACTCATCTCTAGTGAATCATTCATTGTAATTTTTCATCATTTCTCAAAATTATTGATATCTCAAACACTATATCATACATCATATAATGCAGATATGCTGAGGTATGAAAGCTTGGAAATCTGGGTATTTGACCTAGAAATAAAAAATAAGCTTATATGTAATGTATAATGTAATATATATATATATATATATATATATATATATATATATATATATATATATACACACACATATATATATACTGTCTGGAACAACATCCAATAGGTAGATGAGATCAAGATCAAATGATGAGTGATGTACCAAGTATTACAAATTAAAAGTTTGCCTTTTGATTATAATTCTGTCCAACTTCTTTTGGACTCTTGACAAAAGGGAGGCACATATGCAAACTGTAATAATTCCTACATTGTTCACCTGATGAGGATGTAAATACCCTCAAATTAAATCTGACAGACTGCAGTTGAAGCACATCTTGTTTGTTTGATTTCAAATCCCTGTGTTGGTGTATAGAGCCAATAATGTTGGAATTGTGTCAATGTCCAAATCTAGGCAGGTTAGGGTAATTAAGCAAGTTATTGTATAATGATGTGTTGTTCTGTAGACTATCAAAAAAAAAACTAGCCCAAAGAGGCTAATAATTTTGTCCTTAAAATGGTGTTTAAAAAATTTAAAACAGCTTTTATTCTAGCCAAAATAAAACAAATAAGACTTTCTCCAGAAGAAAAAAATATTATCAGACATGCTTTGAAAATTTCCTTGCTCTGTTAAACATCATTTGAGAAATATTTAAAAACAAAAAAAAAATTAAAGGGGGGCTAATAATTCTGATTTCAACTGTGTGTGTGTATATATATATATATATATATATATATATATATATATATATATATATATATATATATATATATATATATATATATATTCATTTATATAGAAATAGCGACAAATTTGACATATATATATATATATATATATATATATATATATATATATATTTGTGTATTTGACACTCTTTCTCACAGTTCATGATGCAAACGAAAAGAACACACGTCATTATTCTCGTCTTTGTCTTGTCTTTCGGTCGGATGGCAGATAAAAAGGATAAAAATAAAAAAGATAAAAATTCAGTAGTAGAGGAGAGAAAGAGTAACACACATTACGATAGAGCACAAACATGCTCAACACAAGTTTGCAAAGGCTAAATTTATACGTCGTCAAATTGAGAAAGTTAAAAAAAATGTGCCAAATTTATGAAGCTGTGTAGGTACATACTGCAATACTGCATCCATGAGGCGCAAGTGTTTGGTGTTTGGAGTCCTGAATGCAACAAACTTAATGTGTGGTCACACTTTATGTTCCAGCCTATTGACTTCAATCCATATGCAGATAAATTTCCTAGACCGTGTCAAATGTTTTGCATTTTGATGAGTTCCAAAGTTGGTTGGTTTGCATCATGTCACGTTAATATGTGAAACCAACAGAACATCAAAACTTGATCTCTTTGTACTGATTGCTTAGTTTAGCAGTGTTAAATAATTGAATCACAGCACAGTTTGAACTCATTTTGCATGCTCAAACACTGCGTCCCAAATGGCACACTTTACATTTATACTTATACACTTATTAAATGCTGTGTTCACACCAGACCCGAAATGTGCAAATAAATCGCAATATTTGCACGTAAATAGCCGCGTGAACATTTGAGTTTACTCGCTTCGTTTCATTCGCGCGTCAAATTCACTTCAGAACAGACTCTGATTTGAGGGTTGGGCAGGGCTTCTGTCTGCCTGGTGACTCTAGCTTCGTTGCTAAATGGCTAACATGGATTTTATTAAGAAAATAGCAGTGTTTATGTGCTTTAAGAAGGCTGAAAAACAGCGTTGATATGTTTAGGGCCGTGTATGAGTCCACTAGATCCATTCAGAAGTGCATCCAGCTCTGTGAGCTCATAAACTCCTCCAGAAACTATACCTGGATGATGGAGGCTTTCAGCGGTGCTTCTGACTGAGCTGAGCCCAGTTTGTCGGTGTCGGCTGGAGGATTTCCCCCTGGACTCCAACAACTGGGGCTACGTCACAATCACGCTCCCACAAGAGCAAGCCCCTGATTGGTTACACGGCGTGAATGTCCGCTGAAGTTCAGATTTTTGAACTCGAGCGATTTGCAAAACGCTCAACTCGCGCCATTAGCATCTTTAGCGCCGCGCCATTCAAGTTGGATGTCTATTCGCGCGTTTGCATTGACTTAACATGTAAATCATTTGCGCTTGACGCTCCTTCCGTGTCTGATGTGAACACAGTATTAAAGGAAATGGGAGATGAGACTCTGATTGGTTTAATGCACGTTGTGCTCAAAACACACCTATAACTCATTAAGAGAATAGGCACAGCCCTGTTAGACCATGCGCTGGGAGGCGCAGAGCGTATTAATCTTGAGTAATATTCTCAGTAATATTTGTAAAGGAAACATAGCCCCTATATGTGCCATTTACATATATTTCAATTAATATGGAAAATGAGTGCATGTTTTTACCCAAAACTAATATGGATTATTTTTATGTGTCTAAAAATGCCCGTGTGTGTGTGTAAAACAATAATTTCTACAAGAAAAAAAGAAAAAAAAAGGGATTTTCTCTAAAGAAGTTGTTACTCCACCCTGTTTAGATCGTCATTATAGAAGTTTTACGTTATAACTAATGTGTTTCCATCATCGGATCTGCGACAGAGAGTCTACGGTTTTGGGAAACACTCGTTACTACATCATTCTTTTCCCAAACGATGGATCGTCCTTTGACAGTTAGCCACAATCTAAGTTGTTGTTTAGGAAACGCACCCCTTTTCTTGAATATATAACATATTTTAACAACATCCTTCAAGGAACAACCAGTCCATACAACTCATACCCTATAACCTCCAGATGCCACTTAATAACTTTAATGAATCGTCTTCTCTCAGTTATTTCAGACATCCGCTGGATTACTCTAACAGTGCTCATTTCGCAGCCTGTTGTTATATGGAAAAGAGGGAAATTTTCCGCGTGCGTTCCACAGAATAGAATAACACACCATGGGTTTGGAACGACATGAGTGCGAGTAAATGATGAGAAAGCATTCAAAGTTGGGCGAACTTTCCCTTCACCGACAGACATTTGTTCCTGCCGCAGTAACTCAAGAAAACATGTTAAATATGCACACAGAAACCGACTGCGTACTTGAGCCGATTATGTTTCTCTCTAAAGGACAGATCATGGAGGCTTGCTTCATTTTGAGCTAAATTAAAACAAAAAAAAGATCCTTCAGTATCAAAGCAGACATCCGCACGTACAACACAAACCCACAGCTTAATAAGGTCTTGAAAAGTGAAAGGATCCAGGCAGCCGATGAAGACGATTTGAGGTTTTCAGGACTGAAGCGAGAGCAGCATGTGGTGAACACCAGTGTGACCAGAAGAAGCAAACCAGATGCGCACACACTCATTCTGCTGATTTCAACGTTCATATTTGATTGATTAAATTGTGGCTTGGAGAGGAAATGGAATCAGTCCGTGTGTTCCTGTG